TTTTTTTGCGGTACACGGGCCTCTCACTGTTGCGGCCTCTCCCGTTGTGGAGCACAGGCTCCAGACGTGCAGGCTCAGCGGCATGGCTCACAAGCCCAGCCGCTCCGTGGCATGTGGGATCTTCCCGGACCGGGGCACGAACCCGTGTCCCCTGCATCGGCAGGTGGACTCCCAACCACTGTGCCACCAGGGAAGCCTGATAGTGTCTTTTGATGCATTTTTAAATGTTCATGAAGTCGGTTGGTCTATCTTTGTTGTTGTTGCCTGTGCCTTTGGTGTCATATCCAAGGAATCATTACCTTCGTGACATTACCAGTGTCCTATGTTTTCTTCTAAGAGTTTTATAGTTTTATGTTGTACACTTAGGTCTGGTCTGTTTTGAGCTGACTTTCGCACGTGCTGTTAAATAACTATGGGTCCAGCGCCACCCTTCTGCACGTGGATGTCTTTCTCAGCACCATTTGCTGAGGAGACCGCCCTCTCCACGTTGAATGGTCCTGGTGTCCTGTGTAAAATCACCTGCCCATGGATGTGAGGTTTATTCTTGGGCTCTCTATTCGGTTCCATCGGTCTGTGTATCTGTCTTAAGGGCAGGTGCACACTGATTACTGTACCTTTGCAGAAAGTTTTGAAATCAGGAAGTGTGTCCTCCAGCTTTGTTCTTTTTCAGGATTGTTTTGGCTGTTTGGGGTCCCTTGAGATTTTATAGGAATTTTAGAATGAGTTTTCTGTATGTAAATAAAAGGTCCTTACGACTTTGATAGGGATTGCACTGAATCTGTAGGTCGCTGTGGGTGGTAGTGACATCTTAGCGACAAGTCTTCCAAGCCAGGAACACGGTCTGTCCATTTATTTGTGTTGTCTCAATTTCTTTCACTGATCTTTTGTAGTTTTCATCGTGAAAGCCTTTTACCTCTTTGGTCACGACACTGACATCCTGAGGCATTTAGGCACTTGTTGTGATGATTGTCTCTGCGTGAGTCTGTGTGGCTGGAGCCCCCTCAGGAGGCATGCACATCCCGTTCCTGGAGATGCCGATTTGGGTCTATAGTTCAGGGGGTGTCCGCCAAGCTTCTCCACTCTGGTTTTTCTCCTTTCCCCTTTGTAATTAATAGGTGTCTTGTGGGAGCCCCTTTGAGACCGCGCAGGTATCCTGCTACCCCTCAAGCTGCCGCCCAGCAGCGTTAGCATCTCTGGCGGCTCTTGCCTGCGTCAGGTGTTGTTCTAATTCATCGTTTTTCTTCGTCATCACTTGGCTCTCTATCATATGATAGGACTTTCAGTACCCCTGTATATGAACATATGTGTGTATGTGTTACCCACCAGGGTTCTTGGCCTCCCTAATAGAAATTGATCAAAGGCCAGACAAGAAATTCAGGCAAGGCTTTATTGGGGCCCCTGCTGCAGCGGTGGGGAGTGGGAACAAGAAACAGATTCCCTTGCTCGCTGGCTCCCTGAGTGGGGGCCAGCTTGTTCCTTATATGGGGTGTGTCCAGGGGTAAGGGGTGTGTCCAGGGGGTCAGGCCGGCGGGGGGTGGCTTAGGGGGTTTCCCGTAAACAGAAAACTCATTCTAAAATTCCTGTAAAATCTCAAGGGACCCCCAAACAGCCAAAACAATCCTGAAAAAGAACAAAGCTGGAGGACACACTTCCTGATTTCAAAACTTTCTGCAAAGGTACAGTAATCAGTGTGCACCTGCCCTTAAGACAGACACACAGACCATAGACCGATGGAACCGAATAGAGAGCCCAAGAATAAACCTCACATCCACGGGCAGGTGATTTTACACAGGACGCCAGCACCATTCAACGTGGAGAGGGCGGTCTGCTCAGCAAATGGTGCTGGGAAAGACATGCACACGCACCACCTTAGGTGGCGGGGTGTGCACGGGGCACGCACAGGTACCCTGCTTTTGCTCCCAGCCGGTGTTTGCTCTTCAGAAGTGGCAGTTGGGCTTTTTGGTCTCTTTGTATCTCGTCCAGAATTTGCTCTAACTGCCACGTACATAGTTATTTTTAGTCCCTTGTAGTTTTTTTGTATTCTGTAGCTCAAGGAGACCTGTGTCCAGGCGCAAGCCCTGCAGCTACGGGTCCCAGGTCCCAGCCTGTCTCGCATGTGTTTTGTTCACATGGATCTGTCTGGATTTCTGGAGTCTTGCTTCATTCAGTGGGTTATGATTCTGTGCACCATTGTTTTGAAGCTCAACTCATTTCAAATATGGCTGATCGGAAGCTCATCAAACCGGCCCAGGCCCCTTCAGCAGCCGGGGCTGGGAAATAAGCTCACATATATACAGACGTGCGTGTGTGTGCGCGTGCTCTCTCACAGCTGTGTTAACGTGGCTCTGTACCTTCATCACAAGTCACGAGTCCTCTCTGGCACCTCCACTTCCGATCCAGCTCTGCAGGGTTCCTTTTGGGTCCTCTTCTCTGATGGCAAGAAGCCGGGCTCCAGTCGCCCCAGGAGTTTGCGCACTTGCTCACTCATAGAGAGCCTGACAGGTGCCTTTGGAAGCTCTTGCCTGCACCCCGGTGGCAGGGTGCCTATTCTAAACATTGTTTTTGGCTTTAGCCTGGGGTCCAGCATCATGCCAGGAGTTACCTGCTAAGGTACCTTCCCACCTTCTAAGGCTGGGTCAGTGGCCGGGTCACTACCGTTCATCAGACACCAGCATGACACTCAGCTGACCCGTCAGGGCCCAGGAGGGGCTGGGATGAGCCCAGTCACAGGTGAGGGGGGAGCCAGCTCCTCGGTTGGCCCGAGGCTGGTCCACCTCACTGGGATAACTTTTAGTACACCTGATCTAGGCCGGTGTGGGGAGGGGTGGTCAGACCTGAATTGCTCCAGAGAACAGGTGGGCACAGATGCTGAGGCACCTCCAGGACCCCTGCGGAGGCCCTTCTCTCCTGAGATCCAGGGCCGTGTTCGCCCCAGAGCGCAGGTGCGGCCCTGGGCGCTGCTTTGCTCTGCCTGGGGCTGGTTCCCCAGCGGGCTCGCCTGGTCTGTCTCGGGGTTCCGCAGGAGACAGGTGTCAGCTGTGTGCACCAGACACCCAACCTCATCCCCACAAATGACACAAGCCAGGGCGCTGGGATGCTTGCACGTGCAAGCCTGATCGGGGGCCTGGACCTGGTGCGGCGGGCCGCAGGGGAGTGGGCGACGCGCCCTGGCATCGATGGGTGCCACCCCCACATGTCCCCGCCATTCCCAGGCACCTACGTGACCAGGGCTGAGGCCACGGATGCGGACGACCCGGAGACGGACAACGCGGCCCTGCGATACTCCATTCTGGAGCAGGGCGGCCCCCAGCTCTTCAGCATCGACCCGCACACAGGGGAGATCCGCACGGTGCAAGTGGGCCTGGACCGCGAGGTGAGGCCATGCAGCTGCACTCTGACAGCTGAGGCAGGGCAGCCCCCCAGACGAGGGGTCCGAGTGCCGCAGACACTATCCGTGGCCCTGGGCTCCGGCAGACCTGCTCCGCGGGTAGTTGTGCGGTTCGGTCCAGAGACGGTGTGAGGGGCCCTCAGCGTGTTTTTCTGCCGGAGACCTCCCCCACCCTGTTGCCTGCAGACCAGTAGGGCTCCTCGGCCTGGGGTGGGCCCACAGTGACCACGCATGCTACAGAGAAACAGTCGCCCTCCGGCCGGCCGTGCCCACTCTTGTGCGGCCCCTGAGGCCCCTGGCTGCCGGGCTTCTGTGTGGCATTGGCACCTCACCTCCAGGAAGCCCTCCTTGGTTTCCCCAGGGCCACTCACTGTGTTAGTTGATCTCTGTCCCCTCTCTTGGCAGCTGCACCTGGCTCCCCAGGGCAGGGACCCCGCACCCCAGTGCAGCAGGTGCCCCGTAAGTGCTCATCCGGCTCGGCAACTGATCTCTTGCCCACTCACAGGCTGGGGCAGAGTCTGGGGTCGACAGTGGTGCCATCGGACCCGGAGAGGCTAGACAGCCTGTTTTGCCCCAGAGCTTGGGAGCAGGGCAGGTGCTGGAGCCTCCTGGGGTCTGCCTGCCCTGCCCCCAAGCCCTAAGGTGGCTGACCAGCCCCGCCCTGTGCTCCACCTGGGTCTCCTGACCCCATGTCACTGTGCTCCTAGGTGGTCGCCGTGTACAATCTGACCCTGCAGGTGGCGGACATGTCTGGAGACGGCCTCACTGCCACTGCCTCAGCCATCATCACACTGGAGGATGTCAATGACAACGCCCCCGAGTTCACCAGGGGTCAGGTGCTGCCAACCGTCCTCACCTCCACTGGCCGCTGCTCAGGGCTGACCTCCCCCCAATCCTGGGGCTTCTGGTGGGTGGGAGGCTAGGTGCTCCACAGAGGAGGCATCCTGTGTGGATCGTGCAGGATACCCTGCCAGAGGCCAGCATGGGCGGGGCGGGGGGGCGATGTGAGCATGTCAGGAGCTAGAGGGCCCTGGGGGGAAGCCACCAAGACCCTGGGGTGTGACCTGTCCCCAAGCCTTCCTGGGTGGGAGGGAGCGGCAGCTGTGCCCTCCGGGGAAGATGTGCCCAGCACATGGCCGAGACTGGGAGGGGGCTCCTGGTGCGTTGGACTCCTCATGGGTGGGCAGTGGGAGGGTGACCCCGCAGGGGACCGTCACCCGCCCACCTGTGGGTAACGGGGCCGAGTTCCCACAGTTCTTCCTGGAGGCCACAGAGGCCGTCAGCGGAGTGGACGTGGGGCGGCTGGAGGTAGAGGACCGGGACCTGCCCGGCTCCCCCAACTGGGTGGCCAGGTTCACCATCCTGGAGGGCGACCCTGACGGGCAGTTCGCCATCCGCACCGACCCCAGGACCAACGAGGGCGTGCTGTCTGTGGTGAAGGTGAGCTGAGGAGGGTGCCTCTCCTCACACCCTGGGACCCCGTCTGGACCCTCTGTGCATCCTTAGGAGGGGAGCGAAGGGGACCAAGAATGCTAGGACTGTGGGCTCGGGCCACACTGACCACAGCGGGACAGGGCTGGAAAGAGGGGGCAAGCCTACGTTACTTCCAGTGTCTCTGCCACTTAAAGTATATGATCAACATTCACAAATACAGATCTCACGTGTTGGCCAAGCTGAGACCAGAGACAAAACCAGCAGGAGATACGTGTGCACACATACGTGTGCACGCACACAGGTGCACACATACACCCGTGCACACACACATGTGCATACACGTGCAGAGAGATGCAGATGAGCTGTCAACACAGGAAGAGCTTTATTGCCAGAGACTGGCTCACGCCGGCCGTCGTGCAGGCGGCTGGCGAGTCCGGAGTCTGCGGTGCTGCGACGGGCCGCGAAGTCAGGAGCTGAGGCTGCCTCTGGAGGTGGGACCCCTTCTTCCCCAGGGCGGCCTCAGGTTGCTCTCAGAGCCTCTCACCCACAGATGAGACCCACCCAGGTTCTCCAGGACCATCTTCTTTATTTAAAGCCAGCTGATTGGACAGGTCAGTTCAACCACGTCCACCAAATACCCTCTTAGCAAGACCCAGGCGAGTGTCTGCTTGAGGCACCGAGGAGGATCCCCGGCCAGGGGACGGGAAACTAGCCTCACAACACCCAACAAATACGTTTGCGTGATGAGTAGCCGTCATTTTGGCATTATTTTTTGTGCCTTTTTGTCCTGCATGATTTTTGTTTCTCCGAGGCTAAAATGCAGGAGGAAAGAAGGGGCTCTGAGGACAGACCAGAAGAGGCCTCTCCGCCGCAGCTGCCTCTGGCTTCCCTGAATGAGGGGAGGGGTCCAGAGTTCTGACGGGCGGCTGCCCCGCTTCCCCTGCAGCCGCTGGACTATGAGAGTCGGGAGCGCTATGACCTCAAAGTGGCAGTGCAGAACGAGGCTCCCCTGCAGGCGGCGGCCCCCAGGGCCGAGCGGGGCCAGGCCAGGGTCAGCGTGCAGGTGCGGGATGTCAACGAGGCGCCCGTGTTCCAGCAGAACCCACTGCGGACCAGCCTGGCCGAGGGGGCGGCCCCAGGAACCTCCGTGGCCACCTTCTCTGCCCGAGACCCTGACACACAGCAGCCGCAGAGGCTCAGGTGGGGGACCCTGGGTGAGCAGGGGGAACTCGCAGCCCCAGTCCACCTCCCAGCCAGGGTAGCAGCACAGCTAAGGGTACTGAGCCCTGTGCCCTGAGGGTTCCCATCAGGGCCCTGGTCAGAGGGCAGAGGGCTCATCTGTGTGCATCAGGGGCTCTAAAGTACCGTGCGTGCGTGCGTGTTCACATGACCTCGTCCTGTAGGCAGGACTGGGCTGCATCTGGCGCACACTGACACGGCCCGTCTGTGTTGGCTAGCCTCTGAGCGTCCGGCCCTGTCTGTTCCAGGGAGCCGTTGCTCCCCTAGGACTGGCTGTTACTGTCTTGGATTTCACCCCCTGCCCTGGCCCTATGTACCCTTGTCTGTCAACATGGTGCCCACCGTTGAATCCTGGCTGTCGCTCGGTGGCCACGGGGCCCTGGGCGGCTCACCTGCCCTCCCCGAGCCTCTGTTTTTTTCATCTGTTGACGGGGATGGAAAATACCAGCCTAGGGCTGTGGAAGGACTGTCCTTAAAGGCCTGTGTATGTGTGCGTGTGTGCGCGTCTACACGTGACCACACCTCCGGGGGTCTGGCTCAGGCTCAGGGTCCCCCTGTGCCCCCCTGTGCCCTCCTTGCCAACAGCTACTCCAAAGACTACGACCCTGAAGACTGGCTGCAAGTGGACGGGGCCACTGGCCGAGTCCAGACCCAGCGCGTGCTCAGCCCTGCATCCCCCTTCCTCAAGGACGGCTGGTACAGGGCCATCATCCTGGCCCGAGATGATGGTGAGCGTGGAGCTCGGCCTGGGTTCCAGGGTTCCCTAACCCTGGCTGGGGCCCCTGCTGCCGCCCAAGGGCTGAGAGCGGGCCCTCCACCGAGCAGACTTAAGGGGTGGGTGGGGGCTCTGCAGGGGCAAGGGCCTCTCCTGCCTCTCCAGGCCTCTCCTGCTTGCAGCCTCCCCACCCAGCACGGCCACAGGGACCCTGTCGGTTGAGATCCTGGAGGTCAACGACCACGCCCCTGAACTGTCTCCACCGTGGGGCAGCCTGTGCAGCACACCAGAGCAGGGCTCCGGCCTTCTCTTGGGGGCCACGGATGAGGACCTGCCCCCCCACGGGGCCCCCTTCCACTTCCAGCTGAGCCCCAGGCTCCCAGAGCTGGCCCAGAACTGGAGCCTCAGCCAGGTTAACGGTGAGCTCACCCCACGCCCCTGGGGGTCCAGGGGGTCCAGAGCCTGGGGCAGGTCCCCACTGGTTCCCACCTCAGTGCACTGCATCCTCAGGCCTGCAGGGATCAGTTATCACACACACAGGAGGAGTGGGGAACGGAGGCTTAGCCTCTCAGGATCCCCGCCCAGGTGGCTGCCGCCGGAAGCACAGGCACAGAGGGGCATGGCCGCCCCACGCCCCTGCTGACCGCCGGCACTCTCCACAGTGAGCCACGCGCGCCTGCGGCCCAGGCTCCAGGTCCAGGAGGGGCTGCACCGCCTTAGCCTGCTGCTCCAGGACTCGGGACAGCCGCCCCAGCAGCGCGAGCAGCCCCTGAACGTGACCGTGTGCCGCTGCGGCCTGGACGGCGCCTGCCTGCCGGGGGCCGCTGCGCTGCGGGAGGG